GCTGTGGCAGTCAGTTCTCTTCTTTTACTGTATGGGTCACACTTGGTCGTCAGGCTTGGTGGCAAGTGCCTTTACCCACTGAGCCATCTCGCTGGCCTTCATAACCCTTTTAAGCTCCAATTGCTCACAGTATCTGGACCCCAGAGCCTCGAGCACTGGCTGTCCTAGAAACTTGATTTTCACCTGTTCCCCATTTACTGTCTTCCGTTTCTGTGCAGAAAAAGAAAAAAAACAAGGTGGGTATAACAGGGTGAGTGGGCAGGGCAGCATGCATGCATGGTTGTGTGTACATGCATGCATGTGTATGTACGCATGCATGTGTGTGTACCTACGTGGCATGTATAAGATGTGCTTCTTCCTTCTCTCCTTGGAGCCTCTGCCGGGCTTGGGTGCTCTTCGGGGGCTTGTCATGTGTCACCGTGATCTCACAGTAATCCCAGGACAGTGATTGCGTTCTCAGCCCTGCTTCTAGAGGAAGAAAATGTCTAGACAAATGAGTCTTCCTGAGGCCACATAGGCGGCACCGGGGCCAGGTGGCCTCACACCATCTGTGTAGGCGGCACCGGGGCCAGGTGGCCTCCCACCATCATCTGTGTAGGCGGCACCGGGGCCAGGTGGCCTCCCGCCATCATCTGTGTAGGCGGCACCGGGGCCAGGTGGCCTCCCGCCGTCTGTGCTCTCAGACACCACGGGCATCAGACAAGGTTTGGTGCGGGTGCCCACGGTGGTCCTGGGAATCTATCGCAGAGGTTCTAGCGTGGGTGCTGGTCCAGACCAGAGGGAGCATGTACTCCGTGCTGTGCTTGTAGCAACCCCTCCCCGCTTCTCCCCTCCCCCATATAATAGCATCTACAAGGTAAGTACTGTTTATGCTTTTCAAAAGTAAGGGTTCACATTCAGAGAAGTGAAGTGATGTGCCCAAGGGCACCCATCTAGCAAGTAGGGACGCTGGAACCAGGACCACATATGTCTACTCTGAGACAGTCTCTTGTCCTTACCTCCCTAGTGCCCCTTACACTCCAAGGCCTGTGTTGTCGAGACCTGCATGTGAGTCTCTATATGGATGGCGGGCAAAGCTGCCATGGCTGTACCCTGTCCACCGGTGCTCTCTATCACTTCTGTTTGTTCAGAGATCCTCTATCACTTCTGTTTGTTCAGAGATCCCCCACACGCTTTGTTTGCTTGGGCAAGAGCTGTTGTTTAGAAGAGCATGCTGGGGTCTAAGGAGCCTTCTGGAGCCAAGGCTGGCAGAGCGGTTTTCCCATGTGTCCCCTTGGGTGATCTAAACAGCATGGGAGGACAATTGGGCCTCCCTAGTCAGGCTACTTTTGTGGCTGAGACTCAAAAATATTTGAAAATCACTGATGTACATCATATGCTTTCAGCATTCTTAGAATTTTTTTTTCTGGTTTTTTTCGAGACAGGGTTTCTCTGTCTAATTTTGGTGCCTGTCCTGGTTTTTGCTCTGTAGAGCAGGCTGGCCTCCAACTCACAGAGATCTGCCTGGCTCTTCCTCCTGAGTGCTGGGATCAAATGCGTGCGCCACCACCTCGCAGCCCTTAGAATTTTTATATGTACTACTTTGTACTATCATGAGAAGAAATGTGTGTGGTAAAATAATG